TGTTATAGTGAGTACAAGGTGGTGTAATGAGATGGGGTATACCAGCTTCTCTGGTTCATCTTAGCTTCCAAGAAGGGTACAGCCTTACTGTATCCAGGTGTGCTTCTTTCAGGATTTTCTTTTTAATTAACCTAGGGATTTTTTTATTAGAGGATCAAAGGTAATAAAAACCCCTCAAATGTTTGCAGACAATGAAGGGAGAAAGATTCAGTTTTCCAACCTAGGAGGAGGAAGAGGAAGAAATTGCTGACTGTAGATCCAGAAGAAAAGGAAGATCTTTTAAACTGTCGGGGCTTACACATTTTTTTTTGACTAAACTGATCTCAGTATTCAGATCTCTTCACTTTCTGTTGAGAAATATTTTATGATGGGAAAGTGGAAATTAACTTTACATAAAACCATTGCTTTAATTTTAAAATATTTTATACGTTGGACTCCCAGTAACTTCCTGTGCTATAAACCTGACAAGAGACTCAAGAGTTTGGATTATTGGGTTAGGTCTCAAATGACTGACATCAGTCCTTCTTCAGAAGAGAACAGGGGAATGCAAGTGCAGGGACAAGACAGAAGTCAGGAGACCTGAGCTCTGCTTTTGACTTTTCCTTTGACATCTATGATCTTAATGGATGTGCGTATTTTGGGAGTCCTAATTCATAGTCTCTAATGAAAGCGGTCCTGAAAGTAGTCCCATTAAATGAATGAAACTAAAAATATAATAATTTCTGTTCAGTAGAATTTACCTGTACCTACGTTTAGCTATTTCTCTACGGTTATACTAATAATATTCAAAGAGTTTAATGAGAGACTTTTAAGACATTTATGAAATACTTGTGATTCATTTATGAAATGCACTGGTTGTTGTAGAGAGCCTGGAAATAGTTTCTTGCCTACCTGGATTGTCTCAGAAAATTATTTTTCTGGTCTGTGAAATCCACAGCTATTTATTATTTTCATGTAAAAAGCTATGGTTTTTGTTTTGTTTGTTTGTTTTTGATAGAATAATAGGCTCTTAAATGTTTCCTAAAAAGGTGACAGCTACCAGTATAGCCAAAGACTTGCCTTTAACATATGTGGACATACTTTACTTGAAAGCATGGAAAAATACGTTTTGGTAATATAGAGTACTTCTGTTGGAAGATTTTAACTAAAGATTTTATGACCTTTAGTAGGATCTGTTACACGTGTTCTGTAAAATAATGTTTCTAACAGAGCGCAATGGTATTTGATGCAATTTCTTTCATGAACCCTAGTGCAGAGGTAGCTCTGAGACTCTTAGAGGAAGAATTCGCTATCTCCTGTTTGCTTAAATATTTACAAGCAGCAAGTGTATTTCAAAGTAAGTGCTTGTTAAAGGAGGAAAAATAAACAGGTTATTTTAAGCAGTTGCAGTAAGAATCACTCTATTTTTATGGATATAATCTGTATGCCAGATAACTCGTACTCCTTTCAAAGAAGTTAAAAGTAGGTCTTCCAAAACCTGCAGAAAATCAGATTCCAGGGATCTGTTGAGGGGGAGGAGAGGCATTAGGAGGAAGTGGTTCAAGGGCAAATTTCCCTCTTCCTTATACACGTATAAAACTCACCAATATAGGAGCTTGAAAAGGGTTTCTTTTTACAGATAGTGAGTTTAAACATGAAAAAGCACTGTTTCTCATTCTTTCGGAGCTAGCGAGGTTTTATGTTTGTCAACAGGTCTTTACAGCAGTGCCACAGTTTGTGTGGAGAGCTCAACAGGCTTCGATGAAAGAGTGGGCACAGGAAGGATTGTGCCTCTGGGTTTGTCCCATTTTCTCCTGTTCCTGGGACTCATGTTAAATCATAGAATAGTTTGGGGTTGAAAGGGACTTTTAAAAGCCATCTACTCCACCTGCAGTGAGCAGGGACATGTTCAACTAGATCAGGTTGCTCAGAGCCCCATCCAACCTGACCATGAATGTTTTGGGGGATGGGGCATCTACCACTTCTCTGGACAACCTGTTCCAGTGTTTCATCACCCTCATTGTAAAAAATTTCTTCTGTATATCTAGTCTGAATCTACACTCTCTTAGTTTAAAACCATTACCCCTTGTCTTATCACAACAGGCCCTACTAAAATGTTTGTCCCCATCTTTATTATAAGCCCACTTATATAATAAGTACTGAAGGGCTGCAATAAGGTCTCCCCGGAGCCTTCTCTTCTCCAGGCTGAACAACCTCAGCTCTCCCTCTTCATAGGAGAGGTGTTCCATCCTTCTGATAATTTTTGTGGCCCTCCTCTGGACTCACTCCCAACAGATCTATGTCTTTCCTGTGCAGAGGACCCCAGAGCTGGGCACAGTACTCCAGGTGGGGTTTCATGAGAGCGGGGTAGAGAATCACCTCCCTCCACTTGCTGGTCACTCTGCTTTTGATGCAGCCCAGGATATGGTTGGCTTTCTGGGCTGCGAGCATATATTGCTGGGTCATGTCCAGCTTTCCATCCACCAGTACCCTCAAGTCCTCCCCTGCAGAGCTGCTCTCGATCCCTTTGTCCTCCAGCCTGTATTGATACCAAGAGTTGCCTTGACCCAGGTGCAGGACTTTGCTCTTGGCCTTGTTGAACCTCATGAGGTTCACGTGGGCCCACCTCTCAAGATTGTCCAGGTCCCTCTGGATGGCACCCCATCCCTCAGATGTGTCAACTGCACCACTCAGCTTGGTGTCATCTGCATGTAAATAAGCATGGATAGTGCAGCACATAATTCATTTTTGGGATTTGGTTTCTTAACTTTGAATTTGAGTTGTGTTTATTTCAGAGTCTCCAGGTGGGGAGCATGGCTTCCTTAGCCAAGCTGGAAGGGGACAGTGGTGAGTGCAGTGGCTTGCTCCAGTGAGGGAAGTGTTTGGTCCTCACGTTTGCAGAGGTTTGGTGTTGTCCACCCAAAAGTGGGATTCGTTATCTAAAAAGGGCTTGCTTCCTTGCTGCCCGTTTGTGGTAACCCACTTCTGGTTTGTTGTCACACAATAACCAAAGCACTGGAGAATTGTGTTTGCTCTGTTTGATGTTGTATGGACTTAGCATTGCGATATCAAGTGGCAGTTTTGATGGCTTAGTAATTGCTAGAGCATTAGAGAGCCCTAGCTCATACTTATTTCTCTCTGGAACATGGCTAGATAACATCAGAACTACATTTCCAGTTAGTCATTCAGATTTTAGAAAAATTGTAGGTATAACAGTATGTACTCTAGCAGGGAGACTTTCTTAAGTTTATTTTTTATGTTCTTGAGTTCATTGAGTTCATCTGTGGTGGAAAATCTGCACAGAATAGATTATTTTATTTAGGACTTTATCTAGAAGAGCAAAAATGGTTATCTGCAGTTCACGTGTTGCCCTTCACAAAATGATTTTTTTTTTTCCTTGACAAATTTGTTCTTTCTGCGTAAATTAATTTCTGTGTGCCTGTTACAGAGAAGTTGTGGTGGAACACTTTTAGTCCCTCAATAATGATTTCTGTAAATCCTATAAAGACATTTGGAGAGTCTCCATAGACACCAATGGTTTGTTAAAATTTTTGCCTGGAGTCAAGAACAGAGTGGGACCACAAGTTATGAGAAGAATCTGGAAAGGAGGGGGAAAGAGCTTCACTGTTCCCAAACCATAGTCTGATACCGCCTGTCCCACATATAAGTGAGATACAAGAAATGAAGTGAGAGTATAGCCTGTGTGAAAGTGGGAGGATCAAGTACAGAATATAACGTCATGTGATGCTTCAGAAAATTTCTGCAGTATTGCCTAGGAAACACACTGCCAGTTTGCAGTCAGCAGCCTACGCATCTCATGGCTCTGAGTAACTGTTAGCAGCTCAGGAAAGCCCCTGGGACCATCTGTAGCTGAAGCGTGTTTTACATGTCACACAATCTCAGTCCCCAGAGCAGAGCTTTTACACAGGCTTGCTTTTGCAAGTATGGCAAGCCTGCAGAGCCCTTGTTTTATTCTTTCGCTGCTTCCTCAGCACTCTCAGTTCAAAGTTCTGCATCTTTCTTCCTGTCCTGTAGGGACCCAGTGCATCTGGACTGCTGACCAGAGTTAGTTCGTTACTTCAAACTAGATCTTTTGATTCTCCATATGGGATGTTAAGAGAACTATTTTGTTACTAATCCCAAGAATTATAGGCTACTTTTATTTTTGTACATTCATCCATGCGTTCTCCTAAAGAACTGATAAAACAAGTGATTTTCTAGATTTCCTCTATTGATCAGCCATATCAGTTTCATGGGAGTCTAGAGGAGATGAAAACTGCTTTCAGAAGCACTGCTTTGTAGTGCATGCCTATGGACTGTTTCTCAAGATCACTCAGGATAACTTCCAAACTTTCCCTTGGCATATTTTGACCGATAGCATGTTTCCACAGCACTGATTTGTTCAGCAGTATATACGGCAGATGCCATACAGTTTGAATTATTTTAGGAGTTAGTGTCTTCTGAAAGAAAAGGGATTTCACACATAGCTTTATATTTCTCAACAACAAAGCATAAGGTAAGACTGAAGGATAGACTACTTTGATTAACCACTGATTTTAAAATGTTCACTTAGAATGGTGGTAGATAACAGAAGGGATTCCTTTAGTGACTGTCTGTGAAACACAGCCTACATCAGGCTGCCCCATGGGGCCCACAGCATCTATCAGCCCATTGCATTGGAACCTGCTTTCTCCATATTCTGAGGTACATCACCTGCGCATCTCCTTGGTGTTGGCCATAGATGTCAGGCTGACCAAATGTTTCTTGGACAGATAAATACTGAAGTCCCCGAGGCATTTCACCATCCGCAGTCATTGGTGTGATTTCCTTCCCTAGCACGTAGGTGAGATGCTGTAGCTGCTGTTTCTCAGAACTGTGTTGAACTCAATGGAGTGAATGTGCTGGAACCAAAGTTTTATCTGAAGGTTTAGCTCTCTGTGGGAAATATTTATAAAGGGGATGTCTGGGTATCCAGTGCTAAGAACAGAAACTGATTCTTTTTTTTTTGTCTGTCTGTTTAGGTCTCCCAAAGGTGATGTCCATAGTGAAGGATATGTCTTGGAGATAGAGCGCTGCTCCTCTTTAAACCAACTGTCAGACAAAAAGGAGATACCAGATTTTATTAAGAAAGTGAGTAAAAAAAAAAAAAAAAGGCAAAACCTGAAACATGGCATGCTTTTATTTGCACTATAATTACTGCTTCTAGTTCTGTCAGTCTGACAATAGGAATATGCGTACGTTTTGTGCAGTTGAAACATGCACTAGAATTTGGTGTTTTGTAATTTTAAGTGTCTGAATAGCAATTATACTTGTTGAGAGAAAAAAGTTCGATCATATTATGAGAAAATGATTTGCAGTATCACAGGAAAGTGACCTCTCACAGATGTTATCAACTAAGTTACCAAAGTAGAAGACAGTCCTATAATGGTGTAAACATTTTAGGTTGAAACAATATATGTAACTTCCTTTTTAGTGTCAAAATATCCTGTTGGATAGTACTGTAGCTAAAAGGCCTATTAACTCCCAGAATCCCCCAGATTATTCAAGTTTTGTTTCACTTTCACATGACATTAGCAGTTGGAGATGGTATTGGTCACCTCAATATCTTTGTCATCCAGAATAGTGTTGCTTTCAATAAACTTTTACGTACACTGGGGAATTTGAAAAGAACCCTGCAATTCTTTATTTGTTGCCTTCTTTTTATAATTATTTTTGATGCTGTAATATTCTGCCAGACGGGAAATTAGCAGGTTATGTCCATTTTAGTGAAGACAGATTCATTGTGCATGTTTCAAATTTTGCAGCATCTGTTGTGTCCTATTGCATGTTATAAAAGCTAGCATTAAATAGTATATTTACTTAGCCACATGGTGTAAGAATAGCGTGAATAGGCATACTCCTCTAGCTTTAATCCATCTTGTAGTGATAATAGTTAAGAAAATTTTGTAGAACAAATTTCAGCACAGGCTGTATGAGCTTGACAGGGACTCAACTTGACAGACTGCACTCATGTTCAATCTTTCCTTTTTACTATGACTTGTAAAAACTGAATTAGAAATAATGCAGCTATGGCTATCTGATCATGATTATGCTTAAAGATATATAGATTTTGGTATCAGAACTGAAGTTTTCTGAACACTTATTGAAAAGTTTGAGTCCAAATTTCATTTCAAGGTTTATTGTGTTACTGCACTTTTATTCTGACACTATCTCCGTTTATTTCAATATATTCACACTTAGGCAAAACTGGTGTAGTTCTTGTGTATCAGTTTCAACATGTTTGATTTTGTTCTTCAGTTCTTTGAGTCAGAGTGGAAAAATAGGCTTATCTGTCACAACTGGTAGCAAAATTTTATATCATTGCAACAGAAAATTTCTTTGCATTTGTAACTTTTTAAGAGTGTGGCTAACATGAAAACAAGATGACAATCTGGGAGTCAGCTTATTTCCATAAATATCCAATTCTGAGGCTCTTTAGAATGCTTTTCTAGACATGGAAATGTTTCTGTTGGTAGAAGCCATTTGATTATGGGGTTATGAAGATGCCTTTTTGAAATATAATCATTTAAATTTTAATAGCTAAAATGTATATTTACTGTTTCTCTGTAGGCTGAGTATGTCGCTCATCCTCAGATGTTATTTGATGCAGAGGAGTTTGAGGTTCTTTGAAGCTGGTGCTGTCAAGTGTGTACTGTGACACTGTCTATATCTGATTAAACGCGTGGTGAAAGTCTCAACACTTTTATGGAAATCTAACTCAGGAGACAGGACTTGTTTGGGAGTAGGAATTAATTGTCATATTAACTAATTTGTCTGAGCAAAAAATGTCCATTGCTTTTGAGGGCATATAAAACAGATGTTTACAAACAAAATAAATGAAAAATAAAGGGTATTCTTCAAAGAAAGTAGTAACGAAATGCTGTTAGGGCAATTGCTTACTTTCAAAAAAGAACAACCCTATAATTCTTCTCAAACTATGGAATATAATTGAAGTTAATAGAGTGTTGTAATTGAATAGGCAAATCCTTGATCACAGGGCTTTTCTTAACAGAGGCTTTTAGCATAGGTTTACCTTCTTACTGCATTGCAAATTACTGTATTTAAAAAAAAGATACCAAATAGAGAAGCTATATTTTCAAAACAAAGTAACAAGTCAAAATTTTCTCCCACTGTGAATTTATTGCAAAAAATTCCTCTACCCTGAGAAAATTAATTTTATTAATTTTATTTTGCACTGCTGAGCAAGTATTATTTACATGGAGTTTGAACAAGGATGCAATTTTAATCACTTCTTTTCTCAATTGACTTTTTGTTGCATTGAAAATGTATGTAATACTGAATATTAACTGCTTGCTCCTGGCAAACACAAAACAATTTTGCAATGGCATACAGCATAGGTAATATCTTTTTTCTTCTTCTATAACTCCATATAAATGTTTTAAGAGCAATGAAGTATAAACAAGGAAGTTATTTCACCTGGAGAATGCTTCTCGCTCACTGAAAGTGCCTCTGTACAATGTTGGCTATAAAACATTTAAGAAAAGCCAAAGAAGACTCTCCAGTCAAACCTGTGTTCTGTTGCTGGGATCCTTGCTTCTGAACTCTGTCCCAGTTCTCCACTTGCTTCTGTACATTTTTGCCATCACTGTGTTTTCTGACTGTGGTAAGAGCCATGAAAGACAGGAGACAGTTAAGTATTAGGGACATAATGTTGCATGGGGTGCACTCTTGCAGTATCTTAAAATCACATTGAGGTCACCATGTTCTGTTTGTTCTTTACTATCAGTGTGGATCTAGTGCAGCTCAACATGTCCTGAAGAGCTCGAACTATCCCATGTTGTCTTTGTCATTTAATTCCCGGGTAATGAAAGAAGTAACTTAACTCTTGTGTATGTATTTTACTGCTGAATTGGTATTAGAGCTCCTGTCTTTAACTCTCAGGCGAAACAGAGATTAAAGATTTGCTCATCTGCTTTTTAATGAGCAAAGCTAACTTCTGAACTTCTGATCACTGTGGCTCAGATCATTCTGAAGTTGTTGCAAGTCAAAGATGTTACTTCTAAGATACTGTATTTTGTAATACTTTGACTTGTGTCTCATGTAAAATAGGGTAGCCTTTAATTACTTCCTTAGTTGCTCTTTATTTCTGTGTATCCTGTTACAGTGTTTTTCATCTGAGTGTTCTCCTGATTCTGCTGAGACAAGTAAGGGAAGGAGAAGCTAGGCTGACATCCCAAGAAAAGAGTTATTTTGGATAACACAGTCATATATGAATGCCAAATATGTTTCTCATGACCTTTGTTTTCCACATCAATCTGAGTTACGTGCTCTAGAAGAACTGTAACAGGCAGAAGGTCTTAGTCCTATGTTCACATCTTTGCAGTGTGGGTGAAAGGTTAGGAAGTGGAGGATAGTTTCTTTACTGTTTCTTCCCAGTTCTGACTTTTTAAAATTTAGGAAGCACATCTTTCTATCCTTGGTTGCTTGGTTAATAATAATCTGTCAGAAGGAAATTCTTGTATGTTAATTTTTTTTCAGTTTGACTCCATTGTGGAGTTCATATTTCTTGTCCCTGTGGACTCATTATCCTTCCCTAGGGAAGTATGATAAGCATGGAAAAGTGTGGTTTAAAAGTGCTCAGCTTAACCGAAATCCAAATGCAGGCATCTTCCTTTTGTGTTTTTGACTGGGCAAGGACCTCTTCCTGCCGATCTGTCCTTACTTGACTCAGAAATGAGGCGAATTTCTTCCAACAAACCTAAGGTCATACAGATGAATAACTGGTTTTGCATTTTCAGAAGTGTACCAGTTCAGCTTGGAACACAACTGACATCTTGAAACACGTATGTGATGCTTATCTTCCAACGAAATCTGCTCTATGAGACAGTGTTTGTCAAATCTGCTCATTGCCCTCTGTTCATAGTCTTGGTGAACTTCAGTGAGCATACAAATGCCATCACCAGCACTAGCTGAAAATCTGTCAGTAACATGTCACTCCCTTACGTGGTCCTCTGAACAACTTCTGTAAGCCAAAGTAGCCTGGAAATAGTCATGATGTAGTAGATGTAGTCACTTTGCCTGTAAGTTTGTTGACGTTTATTTTCTAGTAGAAGCATTGCTGGGCCAAGGAAGTGATGGTACCTCTCTGACTGAAGTGAGTGGGACCCCAGGGAGGAATATGCCAACAAAACACATTGCAAGGATGCTGCCACCCATGTACTTGTTCTAGAGTTGGTGTCTGAAACAGTGACCAGCAGTTCTCCTTGGTACAAAGGCAAGTTGCGTGGGGAATTGGGCTATTTTGAAAGAAAGACCATACAACACTAACACTTGTCTGAAGAACTCACATCCTACATTGCTGAAAGGATCTACCGTATTTGAGCCCTCTTGCCAGTTTCATGGTATCAACTGGTATTTACTGGAATTTTTCTAAATGTCTTTTAAAAAAGAAAGCATGAGAAATTAGTATGTTTCAAATGTTAGTTTATGCACTGGGAATTAATACACATTATTACCAACAGGTTTAAACTAGTTGAATTTACTCAGTGTACTCCTGACAGGCGAGACATTTCTCAGAGGGGTTTGATGCTCCTGCCCATTATTTGCCCTCACTCCTTTGGAGGGAGTGGCAGGCAGGAACTGGCAGAGCGGTCTGGTAAGGAGCTGCTACATGCCTCAACCACAGGTCAGTCTCACTGCACATTTCTCTATATCAGTGTTTTTATCAAACTATCAAGATACTGCTTTTCCTGCTCTCTTGTATTTTCTCTCCATTCATCTGTAGCTATTTTGGTGCTATCAAGATGACTGCTATCTTAGTTCATGCGCATTGTTTTCTGGAGAGTCGTCTGTGTTATGGCTTTAATTAGTGAAGCATTTTTGTATTAGTATTGCTGTTAAAAGACAAGTTAATTCTTCAGCTTCTTTTAAGTTGCTAGGGAGAAGCAGGGTTGGAGTGCTTAGGAGGACTTCTGTTTCTCCTTTAAAATAAAACCTGAATGCTTCTATGAATTTTAAGAGCTTTTAAAATCTTTTCTATAGATGTTCCTGCTCAAGGGAGTGATTCAGCCCAGACTCAGCTCTTCACTTATTTCCTACATGTTTGCTTACATCAGAATGAGCATTTGTCT